AACGATTTGAATGGAAGGGTTTAAGTGGGGAAATGTTTTGATGTTGGAGCAGGAAGTGAGAAAGGAAAGAGAAGAAAGGTGACATAGGATGCTTTAATGAGCAGGTACTGCTATGGGTTCATTCCTCCTGAGGACTCCTGGGAGACTCTGCTCAGCACATCTCAAGGTCATCCCCCACAGGGAGTGAGGAAGCTGGGGCACTGGTCCACCAAATCCTATTCCAAACTGGCTGAAGGCTATTTGAGGGGTGGGGGAGTACTCTCCCAGCACTGCTAGTCTGCCTCATGCACTAGCTGAACACACTCCTGCAGCCAGACAGTCCAGATGCTTGTGGAAACAAGCTATCAGCACGTACAGCAATAGTGAGGTCTGAGGGGATATGGACAGTGGCACCAGCAGCGTATTTGACACATTCTAAGCCTGATGGCCCAAGGTCTTCCATTCTCTCCTCCCAGTTGGCTCGACTTGGACTGAAACAAAGTTCTCCAGTTGGAAGAGATTCGGCAGTCATCTAGGTTAACCAAACCCCGCTTCAGCTCCGAAATCGTCTAAACATTCCTGACCAGTGCTCAGTCAGCCTCTTAGTGCCAGGAAACTCACTGCTCTGAAAGGCAGCCCATGCATTTGATGTTTTTCGGTTGTTGAAAAAAAATTTTTTTAATATATTTTACATTTGTCACCTTGTACGTTTCAATTGTTGGCCTTAGCCTGCCTTTTGGAGCTCCACAGAATGATTCTCCTCCCCCATTCGCAGTAGCCCTTTTAATAGAGTTCCTAAAACTAACTGGTATGTTTTCACTATGACTCTTCACTGGCCCAAATCGTCCACTGCCTTCACCATTCTTACTACAATATGATCTCTAGACCAGTCATTCCCAACCAAGGCCAAATTTGCCTCCCAGGAGACATATTTGGTTATTACAACAATATCAGGGAGTGCTACCAGCACCTATGGGTTGTGGTAGGGAGGCGACTAAGAATCCTACAAGACACTGGACAATACCCACAACAATTATCTGGCCCAAAATGTCTAAAGTCCCAAGGCTGAGAAAACGCTGCTACAGACACATCATTATCCAGGCTGCTCCCCTCTGGACTTTCTATGAGTTGTCATACATAAAGCACAGTGCTCAGAACTTGGCATGTGGTACCTGCGGGAACAGGGACAAAGAGAGCATGAGAGCATGGGGCTCTTCTCTCACTAGACAATGCAGATGACTGTAGCAGCTAAAGCAACCACCACGTAAGGCCCCTCCTCTTCAGTGTGTAGTCAGGGAAAATCTCCAAGTCCTACTGAAACAAACTTCTCTCAAGCCAATAGTTAAGAAACAAACACAAAGCTATAAAAAATATACATGCAAATTTAGGAGGTAGTGTTCCCTCTGAACATCTCCACAATCCTTTAATCATAGTAAATTGAATAAAATTCCTTTCTTTTTTACCCTAATGGAATTCTTTCAAATTTTCATCACTTGAAAATATGATAAGTTGCCTTTTATATGCTTTCATCCAGGCCACTTCTGAAAACATCAGACAGACAGGCCAATGTTGATCTATTTCTTAGCACTTTTCAAAAAAGGCTGTGTTGTCCAGCTATGGATTCATTTAATTGTAGCTTACATTTATTTATTTCATGTAAGAAAACATCAGGCCTAGATGGTTTTACTACTAAGTCCTATCAAACATTCAAAGAAAAGTTAATTCCTATTTTATTTAAACTGTTCTAGAAAATGGGGGGAGTGAGGGGGAAAAGATAATCCTAAAATCAAAACCTTTCAAGCACAGTACATGAAAAGAAGAAAATTATTGGAAAATCTCATTAATGAACTGAGATGCGAAATTCCTTTAAAAAATACCAAGTTCAATATAGCTTTGAATTTTATATTTTATAAAGTGACTGAGTTTTGGAGAACTAAGATAGCAGTGTAGGTAAATGCTGGTGCTCACCACCTCTCACAACCACATCAAAATTATAAATAAAATACAGAATAACCATTATTCAGAACTGCCTGAAATGTGGCTGAATGGAAGTCCTACAACTAGAGAAGTAAAGAAGAAAGCACATTGAGACTGGTAGGAGGTGAGGAGTCCCACAACTATGTGTGGTGATTTTTGTAACTGGGAGGAATATTTTGGCTGCAGACACCTCCTGTGAGGAGCAAGGGATCCCAGCCCCACAACAGAACCCGAGCCCAGTGTTCCAGAGCTGGGAAGAGAAGACCCCCATAACTTTGGGCTGTAAAAACCAGTGGGGATTGTGGCTGAGTGACAAGGAGGTTGCTGGAGTCCCAGGCAATTTCTCTTAAAGGGCCAATGCAGACTTACTTGGACTCACTCCTCTGAGCATGGCTTGGAGAAATCTAGGGGCATACAGAGAGGAGCTGGATTGTCTAGCATCGGGGCAAGAACTTGGGGAGGTTTTCTCACAGACAGGGGTGCTTTCAGGGTGAGTCTCCATCAACTTGGCCCACACTGTTTACTCCACCCTGGTAATTTCCTGAGACCCCACCCCATCTAATTTGCAGCCCCACCCAAGCTATTTGCAGTGGCTGTCCTGGCTTAGGCTTCAGACTTCCCTAAAAATCTCTCTTACAAGCAGCAGCTGGCATCAGCATGCTCCATACCTCTCAATAAGAGGCCCAAGACCTGGCACTAGCAGCAGGTTGGCCTCTTCTGGGTACTTCCAAACCCAACACAAGTAGCAGCCAGCTGCAGATCACTCTGTAGCCCCTGTTGGGTGGCTCCAGGAAGTGGCTGACTCTGCACCTCCCCAAAGGCCAAAGCTAGTACACCTTAGCTTTGGATTACACCACATTAAAGTTCTACACATCCATGTGCGACACACTAAGGGGCAGACTCAGTGAGCACCAAAGCCCCACTGAAGCAACTCCTGCTCCATAGGGTGTCTCCTACACAGCAACTCTTCCACTGTAATCACAGCTGGTCCTCATAGCTAATTGGCCAAGAGTCAATTCCTACTAGTGATGCCAACAGCAATCAAGGCTCAACTACAAGACAGTGCACACAGCCTACACAGTGGCACACCTAGCTCAGCTGACTGGGGTGGCTGAGGCACTAGGCCCTACAAGACACCTACTACAGAAGGCCGCTCAACAATTCCAGGAAACATAGCAGCTACCTAATACATAGAAACAAACACAGGGAAGTAGCCAAAATGCAGAGACAAAAAAAACATGTCACAAATGAAAGAGCAGAAGAAATCTCTAGAAAAAGAATTAAATGAAATTGAAGTAAGCAAACCTCTGGATATGGAGTTTCAAACAATGGTTATAAAG